AAGTTATATGGAGTTATTATAACTTCACTGACCTAGTCATTGGCCTCGGCCACCAAAACCTCAGAAGCAAAATAATATTGAGAAAACGGAAACATAAAATTACCAACCATGAAATTTATAAGTAGCTGATGTTGCCAAACCACTAAGGGAAAAGGACAAATAGTCTAAGCACCTGATTAATTAGATAAGAACACTGTACACTGTACTGTATTGCTTTGATTTTGAATTGTATTTCTAAGAAAATGATTAACCATGAAATCAACCTGATGCTTGCACAATCTTGTTCTGTAACTTGTATAAAATCTGATGCTCCACTTTAAAAAATTACATTCAGATCATCAACCATCTCTTGTGTTGTGTCTGTTTGTCACTCGCCAAATCCTTGCCCACTCTCCGATTCCCTGTTCCCATCGGACTGAGTGCTCTGGTCTGGGCTGGTCCGTCGCACTGGCCCACCTCTTCAAGGAAGCAAGAGTGGGCTCAAGCTGTAAGGGGTTCCATTCACGGAGTGCCAACACTGTACACAGATGCTCCTTATCTACAGACTCCTGGTGGAGGCCTAAAACTGTGATGAGTGCTGAGCTCTACAGACTGGATACCCTGTGGCATCTAGAAGACTAGCAAGAGGATAACATATACAGCTTGGATACATGGGCAAAGAGGCTTCCCTTTCCAGGCAGTACAGAGCAGGATGACATGAAATTCCGTCATGTTACTCAGAGTAGCACCCAGTTTACAAGTTATGAAGGATTTATTTCTGGAATGGTCTGTGTAATATTGTGCTGGATAGCTTTAGTGTCAACTTGACACACCTGGGTTGAGGGAGCCTCAGTTGGGGTATTGCCTCTATTGGACTGACCTGTGGCCATGTCTGAGGAGCATCTTCTTGATGAGTGATGTGGGAGGGCCCAGCCCACTGTGGGTGGTGCCACCCCTGGGCAGGTGGGCCTATGTAGCATAAGAAAGCAGGCTGAGCAGGGGTCAGGAGAGCAAGCCAGTAAGCAGTGTTCCTACATGGCCTGTGCTCCAGCTCCTGCTTCCAGGTTCCTGCTCTGAGTTCCTACCTTGGGCTCCCTGATAAACTGCGACCTGGGAGTTGTAAGCTGAATAAACCCTTTCCTCCCCAAGTTGGTAGTGGTCAGAGTGTTTTGTCACAGCAGTGAAGAACAAACTAGGACAAATATATTTGAACCATGGTCATTCATGGTGACTGAAACGAAGGGTCAGGGAGCTCTACCGTATGTCATGTTTCAGACCAACCACAGGTAGCCATAGGGCTTTCCTGGAAGGGTCAGATTTTTCAGAAGAAGCCATGGGCAAGGACTCAGTCTTTTTCCCTGGGCAGCTATGCCCATATATAGATATGTATCCCCAGTGGGACGCCCACCTTTGGAAGCCTCCTTATTGGAATACCTTGACTGAAGCACTTTCTTCCTCTTGAGCAAAAGCTCTCTGCTCCTACTGTTTTCTAGTCCCCACTCCTGGCCTATGGTCTATAAGATGCAGGAGGCTTTTCAGCATCACACCCCTTGGTTTTAAGATGATTCTTACTATCTGTGTTGCATGAACAAGACTCATACCCATGCCCGTCAGTGGACAGAATGACATGCCTCTTGATCACCCTGTTACAGTTAAGTCAATAAAGGCTTAATGGGTTGTGGATATGGCTCAGTTGGCAAAGTGCTTGCTATGTAAGCATGAGGACTTGAGTTCGATCCCCAGCACCCATGTAAAAGCTGGGTGTGTTGGTGTGCCCCTGTAATCCCAGTACCAGGAGGTAGATCTCTGGTGCTTGCTGACCAGCTTGTCTAGCCAAATCAGTGAGCTCCAGGTCAGGTCTCAAAAAATGGTGGAACATAATTGAGGAAGACACTCAATGTCAACCGCTGGCTTCCATATGTACACTTAAGCCACATATACAGGTGCACACAGATATGAACATGGAGAGAGAGAGAGAGAGAGAGAGAGAGAAAGAGAGAGAGAGAAAGAGAGAGAGAGAGAGAAGATAAAGGCTTGCAGTTGCTTTCAGCATGGCTCCTTATAACTGACCAGCTTGACACCTGATTACCAAGAGCTTAGAGTGGTAACCAGGCAACACATTTAGCATGAACTCAATAAAATCATCTTATTTTTGTTGAATTTCCTTTATTCTAAGCCGTTACCCTGTAGGAGAGCAAATGGCACAGGCATTCTCTCTGGGGATAGCTGGCCTTCAAAGGGCCTGGAGACCACAGTGCCTGAATGGCTTCATGCTGGTAAACACGGGTCTGCTGAATGGAATGTAAACAGCACACTTACATCCCGAATTGCTTCATAGAGTGCTCGGAAAGTCGGCTGCTTATCGTCATGGTAGACGCCACGGTTGCCATGAAGAACAGACACACCTTCACGCTCAGCCTCTTTGCAGTTACTCCCATACATGCAGTGATCTGGGCGGTAGTTCCACTGGCAAGGGACCAGGTAGAGACACTCTGGTGATGACAAGAGGAAGAGACACAGACATAGTCAGTGCCAGCTCTCACCAGTCTGGCGCTAAATTTTTTTTTTTTTTTTTTGGTCTTTTTGAGACAGGGTCTCCCTGTAGCCCCAGCCAGCCTTTTGATATGTAGACCAGGCTGATCTCCATCTCACAGATATCCACCTATCTCTGCCTCCTGAGTGCTGGAACTGAAGGAGTATGCTACCACACCTGGCTTCTTAATCTTAATATTTATAAACCACAGGATTTCAATGCTTAGGAGTGTAGTTGAAATTCACAGGCAAAATTTCCTACACTTGTCAAAAGTCCAAGATGAATGATTGAGGGGGCACCCAAGAAAGGAAGGCAGTACATACAGCGTCTAAAACAAGAAGCCAAACCAGGGCATCACAGAGCCTGGGTCTGAGCCCCAGCTTAGACATCTAGGCTCAGTCCTTTTACTTCCCCTACTTCAGTCTCCTTCTGTAAAATGGAATTAACAGGACCTCCCTATGATTTTGATGATTAAAAATTTAAAGTATACAGGACTGGGTATGAGCACTTGCCTAGCATGAAGTCCTATGTTCAATCCTTAAAACCACAAGAAAAAAATTCAAATACACAGCAAATGCCTAGCAGAGTGTAAACACTCAGAGATGCCCAGGAGTGTCAGCAACTAGAATCATTTATTTGGAGAGGCTTTGTGAAGTGGACAGACCCACAAAATAGGAGTCAAGATTAGAGAGTCCTCTTCAGATTACAAACAAACCAAAATCAAAACACAAAGTACTTACAATAGCAAATAGGAAAATACATCCAAAGTAAAAAGCAATCACTCAAAAAGAACATGACAAAGTCCTCTGTGTCAGTGACCATATGCACTATGCTATGTGTGTACACAGGTGCATGTGTGGTGTCTGCATCTTGGAACAGGTGGCTCTTAATCTAGGGAGATTCTGTTCCCCTCTCCCATGCCTCTGGGGTGATTTGGTAGTATTGGAGGTGGCATTGTTGGCCTTTATACAGTGGAGAGCCTGCTACTGGCATTTAGTGGATGCTCTAAACATTCTGCAGGAGACAGGGATGTTTTCCACATCCTCACTGAACAGGATGGTCCCCTAGTAGCAATAGTGCTGATTTTGAGCAACTCCTCCCTAATTCTATTGGACTCAGAAGATTTTCCCAAAGTGACTAGAATTATACAGTCAGCAAAGAGTTCATGATCCTCTTGCTTCCTGGCTCCTCAGCTTGATGTCTTTGAGGTCTGCGGCGGCCAGAGGGATACAGATTGTAGTTCTCTTCAGACATGTGTCACCCATCATGAGAAAGGCCCATGAGACAACCCCAAAGGTTACAGCAAATCAGTTACTACCACTGCAGACATGTTTTGGTATGGCCTTGTTCTCTGCATGGCAACCTCCTCTCTCTTGGGGAGGACCGCTTCTTAGAGCTTACTCATAACTTCAGGATGAAGAGCTAAGAGTGAAGGCATCACACATCCTCTCTGCAGACTGAGATCTCCATTTCACCATGATGTTTCCCTGACATTTCTCTCCATGTTCACACATACATAACCATAGGTAGGACAGAGCAGTGCCACTCTTGGGTTACATTACCTAGATTTGAACCCAGCTGCTCTGCACTGTATAGCACAGCAGGTACATGTGAGGATCAAAGGGATGAAAATGTCTAAACATGCTTTTGAATTATTCCTGGAATGGACAGCTTCTTCCTTTGGTAACTCAGTGGCACATCCTGTATCTGATACCCATCTGGGCATTTATGTTGCACCTGCTAAATTTCTTGCCTAAATGATTATCCTAGACCCCATCTCAGCTTCCGTGAACATGCTGACTGATTGAATTTACTGATATTTACTGAGCATCTACTGTGGGAAGCATGGAGAAAGCAGATCATTGTAAACGCCAGCCCTCAGCTCCATAGAGTTTGTGACTGATGATGAGAGTTTTGTCTTTTCCCAAGTACTGTAGGAGCCCCACTAGAGAATCAAATCTGTTCTCTCTTCCCGTCTTCCATAGAGGACTGAGCCCAGTAAAAGGCACTCTGAGACAGAACACAAAATAGAAATGACATAACCCTTGGGATCAAATAGATGTACGTTCCACTTGCCCACTAGTCCCTCCTATCTGGTTCTATCACCTAAATGAGTTATTAAAACAATCTGACTTCAGCTGAGAAGCAGTAAAGAAAAGGCAAATTATCTTGGTTTGGATCCCAGTTTACCATAGGTCATCTGTGACCTAACAGTAAACTCTGGGGTCAACATGCTGTGTCTGAACATAGAACTTTGCCATTGGGTGAATCAATTTTAAAAAATGATATAACTTCTGTGCCTCTGTTTCAGTATCTGTTAAATGGGAGAATAACAAACACCATCCATTCATAGAACCTAGAGGGATATTAAATGAACTCATGTACATACATGCTTGGATTAGGGCCTGGCATATAGAAAGCACACAGTGAATATAAGCTAAAAAAGTCACTATCACTATAGTTATTATTAGAACAAGAACTGCGTGTTTGATTACTAGGGAGATAAAACCAGGTGACTTAAGCTGAACAAACCTGACTGTAGTAGTAACTTTTTGCTGTAACCAAACACAACTTAAGGGAGCAATTTAAGAGAGGAAGAGTTTACGTTTCTTTTGATTGATTTACAGTTTGAGGGGGTACAGACCATCATGGTGGAGAAGGTATAGCAACTGAAGTGTGAGGTTGTGGGTCACATTGTATCCTCAGTCAAGATTTACAGAGCAGACAAGAAGTAAGGCCAAGGCTGCAGAGATGCCTCAGCAGTGAAGAGCATTAGTTGCTCTTGCAGAGGACCTGGGTTCAATTCCCAGCACTCACATGATGGCTAACAACCATTTGTAACTCCAGTTCCAGGGGATCTGATGCCCTCTTCTGGCTATCACAGGCACTGCATGCATGTGGTACACTTACATACATGTAGGCAAAATACTCATACCTATAAAATAAAAGTTAAAAATCTTTTGTGAGACAAGGTCTCTCTGTAGGCCCAGATGGCCTGGAGCTCACTATATAGACCAGGCTGGCCTTAATCCACAGAGATCTGCCTGCTCTGCCTGCCTCTGCCTCCTAAGGGCTGGGTTAAAGGTATGTGCCCGGAAGGAAAAAAAAAATTTTTTTTAATTAAAAAAAAAGGGGGGCCCAGCTATAAAACCTCAAGTCCTACCCCTAGTGATTTGCTTCTTCTAGTGAGGTTCCAACTTTTGAAGGCTCCACAACCTTCTGAAATAGCACTACCAGCTAGGGTCAACCATTCAGACTCATGGGCCTAGGAGCCATTTATGTTCAAACCACAACTTGGGATACGTTCCAGCACACAGAATATCTGTGACCATTGTTCACACCAACAGTTTCTAGACCTGCAGGGAACCAGCTACTCTTATCCTTTTGGTGGGTCACAGATCTCTCTGAGAACCCAATGAAAGCTTTAGACCCTGACGATAGAAAACTCCAACTGGAGACAAAGATAGAAAAAAAACATTTGCTTACAAGTTCAGGGCTTTACACTACTCCTAAAGACCAGCTAAGTACCCCAGCTGTCAAATCTCAGATATAAAATGGAACTCCAGAAGAAATTCAGTTCACATCTTCACAGAATTTCCTGGCATGAGAAATGCAAAGTAGATTGTGTATATAATCACAGCAAGGATTCATTCCCCATGGTAATGCAGGACAGTGGTGCCCAGGGGTGACAAGGGATTGCTTTTGCTCCCTGGGAGTCAGGGCACAGTGTGGCTGAGTATGCATGTTTTATCGGGGTTCACAGGGAGTTCATGTCTAAAAGGTGAGATGAGATGTCTCAGCAAAGATTCTTTGAATTCAGGCTTTAGTCAGGATGAAACTGCCAGGAACAGAGGCTTGGAAGAACACTCTAGAAAGAAAACAACCCAATCGTGTTAAAGAGAAGGAGATCTCTTCAAAGGGAAAGGGTGATGGGGAAAGTTGTCATAAATATATCACTTTGGACTGACAGATTCAAGACACAGAAATCTATGCTGGGTTGTAGGCAACTAACAAGCTCATAATATCTGAGGTGAGGCTCAACTTGGGCCAGAAGTGGGGCAGCTCTCAGGCTCTGGGGCGGGGACTAATAAATGGCAGCTTTTCAACCTTGCTGCCATAGATTCTGTTCTTGGGTTCACAGGCTTAAGAAGACAGGACAGCCTGATGGGTTTAGCAGGGAATCACAGTAGGGTAGGGCTCTAGGGCAGCATGCAATTGGGGAAAGACTAATTGTGTTCCAGAAATGGGGTGCTGTTACTGAAAGAGAGGACAATTAACAGTGGGCAGATAAAAACAATAGATGTGAGTCTAGGAGGAGAGGTCGTCTGGCAAAGTGCTTGATATGCAAGCAGGAGGACCTGAGTTCAATTTCCAGAACATGTGTAAAATAGTCAACTGTGATAGCCCCTGCTTGTAATCTCAACAAGGAGGCAGAGACAGGCAGATCCATGGGGTTCACTGGACAGCCAGCCTAGCCAACTGGGTGAGTTCCAGGCCAATGAGAGATCCTGTTTCAAAAAACAAGGTGAAGAGTGCCTGAGAAACTACTCTTACTGTTGTCATTGCACCTCTACACATATGTGCACACATGTGCACGTGAACCCATACATCCATGTGCACCACACACATGCACCCACACAAATACTCCCCCTACCCCCATAAGATCAGATGTGTCTGTTTATTCGCAGGTTAACTTTGCATGGGGTTACTATTCGAACAGCCCATTTTATGAAAAGGAGGAGGAGCAGAGGGGCTAACCAAGCATCAGCTGAATTCAGAAATCTGTGTAGACCAGCTAATAACTACTAGAGTGGATGAATGGCAGCTATTTGGCATGGGATCAATAATATGTTCTGAAATGGATCTACTTTAAACATGATTATCAGGGCTTTCAGAGTCTGACATTACAAAAGACAGCACAGGAAAATATTCAGGTTGTCTTACTCATTGCAGAGGAAA